AGCGGGAGTTGTTTCTCGGTAGTCCCGAGTTCAAATCCTCGGTCCCGCTTTGTAAATAGCCAACTGGTCTGCCTCCTGCCAGTTGGGATTTTTAACTGTTACGTTTATTTGAAATGTTTGTTTCCTTTGCTTCAGTGGCATGCCTGTAAACTGGCCAAGCTTAGTGCTTGTATAGCTAAGTGCATGACCATTATAAATAAGATTTACTTTACATTACAGTAAAGTATTCTTGCATAAAGTTGCTCATTGAGCCGTACGTTTTTCTTCTAATGTCAAGACGCAATGACTTCCGCTCAAGTTCAGCAGCGAGGCAATCAAAACTTGTTACGCTCCTCTCCTTGTATCAAAATCGACATACTCATACCGAATGCTATCATGTTAATCTCTCTTCGAGAAGGAAGCCGTTTTGTCATGCCCCCAGTCCTTACTCACTTGTTTCTACTCATTTTTACAGGCGTACATGTCAATGATTTGAGCTGACTTTAAAGGGGTCCCAGCGCTTACATTTTGACGGACAAATACTTAAGTTCTTTGTCAGTTTACGCCACAACTATGGTATCAAACACATGCTTAATCAAGGTGGTTTTCTCCTGGACTCAATAGGTTACCATAGCAACAGTAAGATCCGCCAAAGCATCATGGATTGTAGCTCGAAGTAGCTGTGGATGTAGCTCGAAATGGACACTGGTAACACCCACTGTTAAATTTCCGATTGTGATTAGCATATTTCAATCAGTACAGCTTGTTGCAAAGTTACAAAGTCATAGAAAGTTAATTTTTTTAAAATTTTTGGAGACTACAGTGCATTCATATGAATTTTTTTTAATTTTACAAGTTGTTTCACGATTCAAAAACAAAAATAGGGAAATGTTCAAATGTTGTTTCTAGTGGCCACTTCGCTTAGCTACACCTAGCTAGTTCACAGGCATGCCACTTAACTGAGAGAAACAAATATATCAACTAAACATAATAGGCTTAAAAATCCCAACTGGCGGGATGCAGACCAGTTGGCTTTTTACAAGCATGACCGAGGAGTTGAACTAGGGTCTGCCGAGAAACACCTCCAACTTAGTGTTCAGAGCGGGACTTGAACACGCGACCTCCGGATTTCAAGTCCACTCGGCCACGCTGCCTCCTAAATGTGAAAGCACTTTAAGCTGATAAGGATTTCTGTTAACAAGCTGTAAAGTTGCTATGGTAACCAGTTTTTCAATGGACGTTTTTGTAGATACGGTGGCCATTTTTGAATTCTGTTTCAAATGGCTATTAAGGGATGCTCGCGGGAGGAAGGGGGGGGGGGGNGAATGTTCAGGGGGGCAAATTAGTATGTATTTGCTCCTTGAGCATCCCATATTACGATGTAGCTATTTGAAACAATATATTTCAAAATGGCCGCAGTATCGCGGAGAAAGTCCATTAGAATTACTTTGAAGCCAGTAGTGGTGGTATTGATTTATTAAAATATCAAGTCATGGAAACCATTACCAGCCACAGGAATTGTTGCCACACAGAAAATTTCTTGTTTTCGTAGCCAGTTTAGTTCTGTTTGCCTTTTTTCATCTGGCGAAGGAAAACTTGTTGTATTGTGTGGCAATAAAGGTCATGACAAAACAGGTTGTTTCTGAATTTTTTAAAAACTTTTTTGTTTTTATCCTGCATTGAAACTGTTGATAAAATCTTTCTCCATTGTTTAAACTTACAGTGTATGCCAGCCGAGTTGCAAAACTCATGGATACGCAACACAGGTACAGTTCTAACCAAAACGTATAAACGTTTATTCAACTTGTACTCATGATCGAGCTATCTGACAATTTTGTAGTTCAATAAATTTTGTTTCATAGTTAAACCCATTTCTTTTTTGTAGACAGCTAAGCTGTCACTGGTCAAGGTTTTTTTTTTTTATATAAGTCACATTTTTAATCACTTGATGGTGGAGTCACTCGCAGTTTTCCTCCATATTTTGCCTCAACTCGTTTCAAGTCTACCCCTTTACTCTCTGGAACATGTCTGAATCGACATTTCTCTGCAAAATAGCAGCCAGTCGTTCGCCAGAAATAGCATTCATCTCCATTCACTGGGCCTGACATCTTGCTCGCAGACAGCCTCACTTCCCTAGAAAAAAAAAGGAAATATTAGAGTGAAAGACAGACAGACAAACCTAAATTCCAACCCATCTACATGCACATGTACCCACTGCCAAAGCAACCATGTAAAACTCATTTACCAAATGAATGCAAAACAGAATTGACCAAACCAGCAAACAAACAGCACATGGTATCCAATGCAAGTTCTGTCTCTACCACTCACCCCTCAGCAAGTTTCTTTTTAACAGGAGCCACAGGAACTGTAGTAGAAGGGACTGATTGACTTCCTGGTGATCCTGTGTTGTTAGGATATCTCAACAGTATCTCCTCTCCACCAAGCTCATGACCCTACAAAGTGATGTTATTACAAGTTATTCTTGCTCCTTTTCTCTACTTAATTTTCATAACACGATTTAAAACAGAACAGCCTGTTCAACAAACTCAACTAATACAAAGAAACTCACTGGTCCGGGTCATTTCTGAGGGTTTCAAACATGACAAACTGAATGAAATTTCTGCTAAAACAATTATATTTCAGGTCTAAACTACTGGATTTTCATGTACTGTAAACAGACCTTTCTACCAATAAGGCAACCATTTTGAATTCCATAGTTTCAAATATATAGCTATTTGGGATGCTCAAGGGGCAAATTAGTATATATTCGCCCACTGAGCACCCCATAATATCTATTTGAAACAATGGATTTCAAAATGGTCGCCATACTGTAGCGATAGTTAGTTAATAGTTATTAGTAGTGATAGTTCTCACACGCTGTCGCTATGTTGCCTCAAGCCAAAACGTACTCCCTTAGGTTAAGATGTAGTACTAGTCAGTTTTGCAAGATAAACACTGAACATTTTAACACTATAGTGTTTTTTTGATACATGCAGGCTTAGTTTTAAATATAATTTAGCAATATGAGAAATTCTTACTGTAAGCGCCTTATTTTCAAAATTTATGTTTAAACGTTGGATATGTACTGTATTGAACAAATAAAGACATTATTATTATTATTATTATTATTAAATTATTATTATTATTATTATTATTATTATTGGTAAAAAGGTCAATTCACTCAGATACGAAAAGCATTGAAAATCAATCAAGTGGCCTCATGCTTCAGACTGCGAGTGTGCACTGAGTGGGCACTCTGATTTCCTTAGATCCTACACAATCTATTTCAGGCACTACATAGGGTTACTGATCTTGAGCAAGCAAGGCTAAACATTTGCTCACCTGTAATTTTTCAAGTGCCAATGTTGCTGACTCAGCCTTGTCGTAGTTCACAAAAGCACAGAATCTTTTTGGGAGAATTCGAACATTGTCCACCCGGCCACAACGACTGAACAGCTGTAACAAATGCCTCTCACTGACTTCTTCAGGATTGATGTTGCCAACCCATAGTGAACGACAAGGACCATCTACATTGCTGCTATTTTCAACAGCTCTGAGTGAAAAGAAATCACACAATGGTAACTCCAGTCAAACAGGCTAGCTTTAAAGAGTAAATAACAGAGAAGGAATTTAAGAACTAAGAAACATGACACAGTCTTACTGGTGGTAATAGCCTTATTATTATTTTTTTTTTTTTCGTTATGTTTGCATTGATATTCAAAATATGTTAATAACTGAAGTGTTGATAATTTGTTTCTTACATCTATTTCGAAGTCAATGGTGATCCTTGCTATCTGAGTGGCTCTCAGCAGTGCAAGTTTTTTGTGTAAATCACACTATTTTTTGCTATAAATCGCAGCTTTGAGCCTCTGTACATCAATACATGCTAAGTTCAGCTACCTTTGTACAAGACTCTTGAACAATATGTCAGTTAATCACACTGACATGGGGTCAGTGCAAAACGCAGACTGCGTACCAGGGGTAAAATGAAGACTGAGGGTAAAATGCAGACTGTAGACTTTTTAACTAAATCGTGTTATCATTTCCATCACTGAAAGTAACTGTAAACAGGCTAACTGGAACATTATTAAGGCTAACCTACATGATATTTAGGCTAACCAGATTGATATCCAGGCTAACCAGAGTGCAGACTTTCATTGCAATTAGCCCAAATAACACTGTTTAAGGTTAGCACTCAATAATTAATGGAAATAGCACATACTTTAAAAGTCCTTAGCCTGCAGTCTGCATTTTATCCAGTCTGCATTTTACCACCTGTCTGCAGTCCATAGTCCGTAGTCTGCAGTCTGCGTTTTACACTGATGGCACCAACATACCATTACCTTATATGCTGCTGTTTTTGTGGATCATCCTCTCCATCAGACATGTATATCTCGGTTGATACAGGACAGTTCACTAAGGACCCAACACAATTTAACAACCGGACTCAGAGAGCTGCTATAGTAAACTTACAGTACATGCACTTACAAAGGTAGTTCACCGTTTGGCATGCGACAAGAAAGTTCACCAGTGGAAAGTACAGCAACATGGCACAATTAAAATATGTGCCGATTTATTTAGAGTAAAATTGAATGTTAATGTAGCCTATATATTAGCGAAAATGTACTACATACGTGTATGTGTAAAGCTGTTGTGGAGCTTGTAAAGGCTTTTATTTACACAATTCAGTTTTCATTGTTGTCAGTTTTAACACTTTTTTCACTCACCTTTTCCAGCCAACAATGCCTCTAATGCTGCCTGAACTGTACCAAATGCCTGAATGGCTACCTCACTTTGACTTTGAGGGAATCCCATTTCCTGATAAAATCATCAATATATACATTTAGGTTAAAAACTAGAGATAAAAAATGATGTTTTGATCTCTCTGACATCATTTTCAAGTTCAGAAATTAAAGTGATTAAATTTTTACACATATATGTGAGGAAAATTAAGACATGAGAACTGAAAAAGCGTTAAAACTATGCTCATTGATTTTCAAATTCTTGTCTTAATTTTGCTCATATATGCAAAAAATTGTAGTCACTTTTTAAGACTTAAAAATGATCTCAAAGAGATCAAAACATTCACTTGTTTTTATCTCTGGTTTTATCCCAAAAAATTAATGTGTTTTGACATAGAAACTATAGTATATATAAAAAGTATTCAAAATTATAATTATAATAAAAACAAATGCTATTTAAAACATTCACTAATGGCGTATTCTAACACTGACTGGGTGGGAAGGCTGACTAGAAAGATAGCAGACTCGATGTCATGGCATATGGATCGATAGGCTTTAGATACAAAACTTTTGGGTATATTAGAAACTTCCTGGATGTTAACTAAAGTAGATAGATTTTTTTCCAAGAAAGTGACATTTTAGGAATACATAGAACTTTGTTTAATGACTTATTTGAGCAGTTTCTTTGCGATTGGAGCTGCTTTGCTCAATTCAGTACCAATATCATATTGAAAGCAATATATTAGTAAAGTAGTTTCCGACTGAATGACGCATCCTATGTGAGTATCATATAGCAGAATGAGTGGGTGGTAAAGTTCACATTGTGAGATGTACAAGTTGCATGATATGGATTCTGAGTGTAAGCGTGGAGTTTTGACCAAGAATACATTAACTAAACAATACCACGACACTGAAACAACTTAAACCACAATAACAAAACCACCTATTTTTGTCTAAAAACAATGCATGTTTAAATGAGTCAAATTAGTATTTAATAATATTCAAATTGCGATGACAAGATACTCAGACACAAATCCGGTATACAGTGGAACCCGCCTTACAGCCACCTTGTGATTACGGTCACTTTTTTGTCCCAGCGAAATGCCCATACATTTTTTTAAAAGAAAACACTGTTAATACGGCCACTGGCCACATTCTGACTTCCCAACCTGTATACTCCTTTTAATTATAATTTTACCGCATTTATATGGTCACTCAAACCAGCTACATGTATATTCATTTTTCCATTGTTAATATTTTACAGAGATTCAAGCTTCAATTTTTGGAAATTATCGCTGCATATTTTTGGATGCTTATTAAATAAAGAACAGTTGTTTTAGAAGAGCAATTATTATTGCTGCATATCTGTGAAGATAACACTCAATTTAGAAAATTCATGAAGTTTCACCCAACC